GTTTGACTTCTCTGTATATAATTTTCTTTGAGATAATGAATTGATCTAAAAGATAAACATGTCTCCATTGTCAGAAAATAGTCATAATCCAAGATACATATGATGTATAACAATTGTTTATCAACTTTGAAAATCTAGTTTTTTTGAAAATGTGACTTCTAGTTCGGGTTGATTCCCCATAGACCCCATGTTACAAAATCACAAAAATGAAATATCTCTTCTTGTATTAGACAGATAGCATTTTCTTTTACTGCATATATTTTAAATTACATAACAATTAAATGCATAAGGGTTATATGAAAATTGAACCACTTAAATTTAAATTAAAGGGAACTTTCTACTAATACCCGCCATGTTATCTGAGCAGAACGAGCCACCTGGTGGTGAAACTGGTAACTACCTACTCGCCTCGTGTTAATTCTAGTGACTTACAGTACGAGGGGTGATCCAAAAGTCTTGGACGCCCCGCTCTAACTTTGCTATTTTCTAATATAATTGCACGATCATTGCACGATAATAAAGATCAACATCTTAACAACTTTGTGTATAAGTTTCAACAGAAAATAATATATTTTAGCTTTTTGGTAAAGATTTTTTAATACTGGGTCCCTGCCACTCGGAACGGTATTTAAATATAGCAAATCACGTCACAACTGTTATAAAATGGCAAATACCTTAGGTGCGGGTGTACAATCTAACACCAGTCATTATATGAGAGAATTTTCGATTTTCAATCTGAGTGTCAACTGCCATCATCATCTTCACATATTAGACCTACTTTTCAACATTTTTTTCCACGAATTTGAACCCATCTTTCATACCGCTTTACCAATGAATGGAAGACATTTATGAAACCGCCATTCCTTATGTGATACAAATGCTGCTGGAGTGCCACTCTAAACCTCATCCAACGAGTAAAAAATATTTTCTTTCAACCCTTCTTTCAACTTTGAGAAAAGGAAGAAAATCACACGGAGCCATATCTAGACTGTATTGTACATATGGTAGCTGCTAAAGGTCAATAATAGTGAAAATATCTTGTAGTATTCTTTGTTCCACTTTGATTTCTTTCATGATCTGCATTTCAGCAGCCATTTTGGAGCAAAAATGATACCAGAATGAGGGTTGCTTGTCTGATGTCACTTTCTTAGAACTTGACATATATGATCATTGTCATATGTAACATTATAATGAAAACACAATTAATTGGTTGCCTAATAAGAAAGGAAGTAAACTAACATGGTTTAACATTCACAATTCAAAGAAAGACAGTGGTCAAGACTTGCGAAACAAGTCAAATGTCACCAACATTTAAGGCTGAACGTTGTCATGTGTGAATACCGTTCCGGGTGGCAGGGTCCCCATCTTAAAAACTGTCTAGAAAACTACATAAAAGATATCATTTCTCCATGAAATTAATACACAAAGTAGTTAGGTTGTTGGTCTTTATAATTGGAAAGTTTAAAGTGATTTTATCAAAAACCAACAAAATAAGAGCAGGGCGTCCAAGACTTTTGGATCACCCCTCGTACTTGTTATTTGATTATGCTATTTGGAACACTTGGTAATTAAATTGTGATTTTAATTAATCAAACCCAAGCTAAACTCTATTACATAAAATCATCTAACTTAAATTCAATTAAGTTGCTGAGCAAAATGTGTCAATAGGAAATATGTTCTATAATATATGCCATTTACACTTAGGGTATTCAGTTCTAACAAAGAGAAATACTTGAATGAAATATGAAGGAGTAAAAAATTGAGGCTAAAATGTCTAGGGGGTGAAACGTCTAGGGGGTGAAATGTCTAAGGGGTGAAACGTCTAAGGGATGAAATGTCTAGGGGGTGAAATGTCTAAGGGGTGAAACGTCTAGGGGTGAAATGTCTAGGGGGTGAAGTGACCAGGGGGTGAAATGTCTAAGGGATGAAATGTCTAGGGGTGAAATGTCCAGGGGAAGAAATGTCCAGAGGGTGAAGTGTCTAAGGGGTGAAATGTCCAGGGGGTGAAACGTCTAAGGGGTTAACAGTCTAGGGGTGAAATGTCAAGGGGGAGAAATGTCCAGGGGGTGAAGTGTCTAAGGGGTGAAATGTCCAGGGGGTGAAACGTCTAAGGGGTTAACAGTCTAGGGGTGAAACGTCCAGGGGGTGAAATGTCTAGAAAGCACTTTTTATACATGTACAATGAAACATATAAAATGAAACATGTACAATGAGAGAACAACTGAACACCTTTCCTTTATGAAAGTCCGAAAAATTGCTGAAAATGTCTCAAATTGAACAACAACTGCATGTACACTCGTGTTTCAGATGAATGTGTAAATGATCATTTTGTTTGATTAGAATCACACACCATAATGCAGATAAAGTTCCAGACTTAAAACATCCGTTGGGACACTTACATGTGACATTTAACAATTTGAATGCTATGATTTATAACATGCTAAAACCACTGAATGAATAAAAACACTGATTGAATACACTTATTAGTGTTCATTGTCACAGACTTTATATAAAATTTGTGACAATGAAAACTAGTAAATGGATTTAATATTACCAGACTATGAACTTATTTAATGTATTCTGATTCAATAGTTTGAGCTAAACTCTCATTAAAATAAAAAATAGTCGACAGGCTTTTACAATAATACTGCACGACAAAACATATGTTAAAATATAGTGTAAATTGAGGTTTTTCTATATAGCTTTGAAATCTCGTTAAATTCTCGTTTTAATGAGATCTTCATTTTTGACCACTAAAGACAAACATGTACATTTTCTTCTTTTTGATGGCAAATTCGAATGATGCGTGTTATTTTAAAACAACTTTGATTTGCACAGTTATTTACCTTTATTAAAATTTCCAGGATTTTCAAGTTTTCTGTAAGAGACCATGCTAAATTCCCATTGACACAATGTTAGAAGATATTTAAAGTAAGTTAACTTACTCTTTTAAGTATCACATTTCTTATGTTAAATCACAATCCACTTGTCAACAAGAAAGGGACATATTTGAAAAATCGAGAAATAAAGTGATTTTCTGTCAGTGCTCTGTATTCTTGTAATGGTATTCTAGCCTTACCACATTCATACTCCCATCTATTAATCCTTCTCTACATATCTATATCACACCGGAATAGCCTGACTACGGTAAAGTCAGATGCCGTTGTCACAAATGGCGGACACAGGTTCGCATTCGATTTGATTTTCACGAATTATAAGTTCAATAGAGCACGTACATGTATATTAAATTCATTTGGCACAAGAATCAATAAAAGTGTCTTGGTACTCACCGTATAGTTGATAATCTTCTTCCATCTAAATAAAACCTTCAATTTAACCGATCGAGATATGGCCTGGGACAACTGATACTGTGGGTCAAATGTGCTCTAAAATCGAGATGACAACGGTATTATTCGACAACGGTATCTAGAAAGACAACGGTAATGCAACGCTAGTAGTACATCTTACATGTATTATATGTATTACCTATTAGTTTTTAAAACCTTGGCCTTAATACAACCAGGGTTAGATAAAACCCGTAGTTATCATCGCATGCGCTGTCTAATTTTTTCTCAGTACATTTTAAGCAAGGGGCAAACCCTCCACCCCCCGGCAAAAAATTATTTCAAAATCATGCAGTTTTTACTATTCTTGACACTTTTTAAGTGGTTTCTTGGGCCATTTTTGTCAAAAGTTAACCCCCGGGACTGTGAATTCGTAGGATCCAAGAATTTATCCGGATAAATTTTATCTTTTTGAATTACTGAGGTAATCATATATGTTTCAAATAATCATATATGTCTCTGCCGGGACAAAACCAAAAATAATCATAACTATTATTTTAGACTTCATAAATCTTTTTAATTGTTTCATAGAGTCATACCATAAAAATTCAATGCTTCTAACTGTGGCTGAATGTAGAAAAAATCAAAAATCCTGCTTTAGTTGGAATGGGTAGGGGTCCTAAGATTATTTTTTCAAATAGAAGTTGACCAAAATTGTCATTTACACTCAACTCCTCATACGTCTTGTTTCCGTTGTCATTTCTCCAATGTTCTAATGCAATATATCCCCCATATCCCGTTGTCATAAACTACCATATGCCGTTGTCTTTGGGAATTCTGATTCCGTTGTCATAGTCGATATCGAAGACGTTATATTGTGGCGATTCACGATACCATTTGATCGAAATCGGAATTTCATATATTACATTATCACAAGAGCTTAATACATGCACAGAATTAGCTACGATAAGATCCGAAGAAACGAGGATCAAGTGATTAAAGAGTTGAATCAACGGTTATGTCCGCCATTTGTGACAACGGCATCTGACTTTACCGTAGTCAGGCTATTCCGGGGTGTATATAGAAAATGGTCAATTGTTAACCATATATAATATAATAGTGCATGTCAGCTACATTAAATTACCCGGAGCTTCTGTACATTGAATTGTCAAGTTTCGTTCTAGCCAGTTAGAATGATCAATTTCTTCCTGGGTGTCAGCTGAGCTGATCTCGTTAGGTACAAGTGCAGATGTCGATATGCGAATTCGCCAAGTAAAAATCCTTAGATCCGGTCCAATAACCCAAAACTTCGAAGTGCTATCCACAGACACGCAGTAGAGATAGCGAAAACGAAATTCGTGAACGTACAAAGGACAGCCCTGATATAAAGTTCCCTCGAGCGTGAAATATCCCATGTTACCACGGTCGAGGACACTACCGTCCACAAATACTCTCTCACAAGGTTCTGGTCCAAAATAACATTCAAATTTTATATTTTCTGTTCCTACTGTCCAAGTATTCGGAATCTGAGTAATATCCATTTCTGTTGATCCAAATGCAAAACTATATTCATTATCTGTCGTATTAATTACCCAACCAGCAGCCTCTTTATATATGGTAATTGCTGTGTTTCCTACTTTTGTATACACGCCATCGTCTCCTCTAGTATACATCCCATTTAGGCCTGCATTCTCTCCCGTGTTGCTAAGGCCACTTGCCCAAATGTTGTTGCACAATTGTGATTCCTCCAACGTAAGACTTGGCTCCGTGACCCATTGGTCACCGTCAAAGCACATCAGGTCTCCTGTATTGGTATTTATCTGAATACCAAAGGTTTCTCCGCCGATTTCGGGTCCTACGACCCAGTTGTTATTTTTGAAATATAAGAATTCAGGCCGGGTCATATGCTTGTAGACCGGATTACCATTGTAGCGGATACTTTCCCGGATACAATATATGCCTTCTCTAAATCTCTGATTTGAGCAGATCCCTGTTCCAGTTAGTTCAAGCTTTGGTACATCTCCAGTATCATCACCTGCAAATAGACAACGTTCAATGTCAAAAGTTTGAAAAGGGTGCTTCACAAATGAAACAAATCTAATCAACTCTATCAATGATCTATGCTTAACTTTAAGAAGACAAATTATACCGGCCACCAAATATTTTCAAGATCGAAATTCAATCTTAATAAAGTCATATCATTTAATGCAAATTGGGTCAAACAAATGAGGAAACCCAAACAAATGTTGATGACGAAGTCATTCAGCATGGCTTAAGAATCATACTTATCACAATTAAAGCGTGCACATTTTTTTCATTCTACCTAATGTATTTGGTCTATTACCAATGGTCACGGTTTTATGGCCATTATACAAAACATGCTACGTCCAGCGTCGTGTCTTGATTCACGAGAATAGACTTTTTGTGTTATGACTCTCATTTTCCTTCTTATTTCTTGTTTCAATAGTTCAAAGTTTGGTAGCTAGTGATAGATATTAGCCACACATATAAACATCTGGTTTGATTTATGTCTGGTGAATATGGCACGTTTCAGGCATTTGGAGCATGTTTATATAAATGGTCATAATATTGTGACTATTGGAGTGACCATAAGTGATGCTTATGATGTAGGGTGCTTCCCCTGGCGTTAACATCAGCTGCCTCTAGACAGATCGACTGGGTTGTCGAGTTGGCCGAGAGGGCTTGAGCGCAAGGCGATTGGGGCCGTAACCACGAGGTTGCGAGTTCGAGACGCGTGTGCTCCTTGCGTTTATTCATTTCTCCCTCATCACATATCATAATGACAATAATGTTCGAGTTGTACTTCAAGCTGTGGTTCATTTATTAATTGTGAATGGTTTACCTGCAATTAGTTTGTATTTTAGGGATGTCGTGTTGGCCGAGAGGGCTTGAGCGCCTGCACGTTCGAGCTAGGCGAATGGGCGCCATAACCACGAGGTTGCGAGTTCGAAACACGTGTGCTCCTTGTGTTTATTCATTTATGATTATAAATTGTGAATGGTTTACCTGCAATTAATTTGTATCCTATCTTGAAACCTTCCCCGGTAGATGGAGTTTGACCTACAAATCTAGCATTAGCCCGAAATAGGACCATCAACTCTCCGTTTAACGAATCAATCACAGTAGTTGGTGTATCCGTTCCACAAAACCTAAAATTATATTGGAAAACTTGGCTAGTGATAAGAAATGGAGTATGCCTTTTAGATCTGAGACTCGATTGAAATGGCCACTCTGTGTTGAGACAAGATGCAGAGAAGACAAAATCAAATTAACACACTAATAAGTAAGCTAACGTATCGCAGTATCAAAATGACATACCATGGTCCAACGTATCCAAGACTTGTAGCGTAACGTATTTCCACCCGGTCATAGTTGCATGTGTTGTCTGATGAGGAGTCAATACCAAATGTATCAACAAAACGTATCTGAACTTGATTTCCAGGTGGAGCCTTAAAAAATTTATAAAACCTTTTTATTTTCATTTTTTGGGTTGATGCCAGAGGGGAAGTAAGGGGCGATCCCTTCACTCTTCAACATCTTACTATATCGATGTGCTGTTTCATGGTGCCTGAGCACTTTTCAAGTGTCTTGAGACAATATCATAAATTCAATGAATTAGGTGTCTGGACATGCAATATCATATTTTGCGATTCGTGCTATCACAGGTTGTGGCTGGTCGATGCAATTGATTTGACAACATTCTCATTATACTTTTCACGGTTTGATCCATTTGGTTTTGGTGATGAAAAATGCATTTTTGAAACCTCTTCAGCATTATGTGTAAGTCATTCATGGAAAATTAACAACAATGAGAATGGCCAATTGGTATTCACAATATAAGTATATGATGTAGGTTTTTGTTTTGTTAGGATGTCAGTATTGTACTAAGCTCACAAACAAGGATGTCAACCATAGCCAATCAGAGAAGAGTACCCCTTCTAAGTGATGAGAATAAACCCTTCCTACAGCTTGGTTTAGCTTTAGATCACTATGATATCATTATTTGGCAGAAATACATCCTGCTTGGATATAAATGATCACATGACCTTGGTTCACCATGGTATCAGGAGATGGCATGCCAAAATGTAAAATCTATCAAAAAGTAACATCAATACTATGACCGATTATAAGCTCGATTTCTATTGTTAATTGTATGACATATACGTGACTAATGTAAATGCTATCAGGGGAAATTCGACCTGCAGGCCTTACTATTTTCTGTTTTGAAAAATTCGATATGAGATATATTTCTTAGTTTTTCAAAGAAATCTACAAATATTTCGATGCGGTTTTATCTTCACATCGTAAATTCAATCACCGCCATCACTTTTCAAACCTTGAAATATCAGAATTTCCTGTTACTTTAATCATTTCAATGTGACTGTCAATCACAATTTATTAAGCAGTAAAAAATGATATGCTACATTGGTTCCTAGTTTGATGTTGAATGTCGAGTCTTTCATCATACGAAAGTAATTTTAGGTGATCTGTTTGCCTGGGATGCAAGTAGGACCAGTGGGTCACATAAACCTTAAACCTCTCTTATTCAAATTCACCGTTAATGTCATGTGACTTAAGCAAGTATTTGATTTTGAACTTTTTATAACTAGAATAAACTAATGAAGATGATTACTAAAAAGTAAAACCCCTCTTAACTTATCATCGCCATACAATTTACCAGTAACTTTGATCTTAACAAGAACAGAATTCCAGAGCTCCCTAACACAACATTATAAACATTCAATATCTTACTTTTAGTAGCCAAGTGCATGCACTGTCTTTACTATAATCAGTTCCAGTTCCATAATCAGGATTTGTTAGAAAACCTTCGGTTGCAGTCACGGTGATTTCACCTCCACATGTTGCTATTAGCAAATAATGTTCGTTACTTTCCCTGTATTTACATTCATTATCATGGTATATATATATATATATAATAAAATTTAAATAAAAACACAAGATGACTTCATTTCGTTGCAACTAGTTTCTTCAAATCTGAGTCAAATCAAACATACACTTTCCAATAACAGCAACAATAGCAATAAAGGAAATGTAATAGGATTACATTCTTCAAATGTAGGACCTAATTATTTGTTCTGACCCCCTTTAGGGTCAAATCCAACATACACTTTCCAATAACAGTAACAAAAGCAATAAAGGAAATGTAATAGGATTACATTCTTCAAATGTAGGACCTAATTATTTGTTCTGACCCCCTTTAGGGTCAAATCCAACATACACTTTTCAATAACAGTAACAAAAGCAATAAAGGAAATGTAATAGGATTACATTCTTCAAATGTAGGAACTAATTATTTGTTCTGGCCCCCTTTAGGGTCAAATCCAACATACACTTTTCAATAACAGTAACAAAAGCAATAAAGGAAATGTAATAGGATTACATTCTTCAAATGTAGGACCTAATTATTTGTTCTGACCCCCTTTAGGGTCAAATCCAACATACACTTTTCAATAACAGTAACAAAAGCAATAAAGGAAATGTAATAGGATTACATTCTTCAAATGTAGGACCTAATTATTTGTTCTGACCCCCTTTAGGGTCAAATCCAACATACACTTTTCAATAACAGTAACAAAAGCAATAAAGGAAATGTAATAGGATTACATTATTCAAATGACAAATAAAATGTTACTTTGAGATAAAAATCCTGCCTTTACCAATCATTAGATAATCTATCATGTCAGCAGATTCTTTTAATATGTTCCCCTCTCTTGTCAATAGAAAAATTGTCTTTTGATGGTCGTTGATGTTTTTGAAATTACTAGGTTTTAAAGTTTTTCAATATGAGATTTTCTGATATACATATCATGTGGTATACTGTACAAGTGGTATCTCATCTGAGTAGTTCTTTGTCGAATGGTCAAATTTTATCATTTTCCTAATTTGTTAATATTTCCGACATATACTTTTCCGAACCTGGCAAAAATTAGACGCCCAGTAAATGAACGAACATAAATCAACACAAGACATCGAGAATATAGCACTTTGAAAAAGTGCGATATCTAAATACATGCTAAATATATGCCGAAACTGTGCATTATAGAAAAATATCAAATTATTAAAATAAATAATTTACATTGAACGGATACATAGTATAACATGACAAATTATCAAATCAATCATTTTATGACCAATCGAAATCGATATACAGATGACGGATAATTGTAATGAAGTAAATGCACCAACCACCAATCCCTGGTGAGACATCACCACAGGTATTTCCGGTCCATCCATCCGGGCATCTACAGACCGCGCAATCATTAGGGTCTCTGTAACCACCGTTTAAGCAATCTTTCCAACGTAACGACGAAAACCCAGGACAGTTAGCTAAACAAATGCACGTATATTATTCTGTTTTATTCTATATAATGTATTTACAATCAATATTCTTGTTTATAAGGTACACACGGTTCAATACAATGAATGAAACTAAAGGTAATTCACCAGACTTTCAATTCATTTTCAAGCGGTTATATTTTTTTTGAGGTAATTTATTAACGTGAAACATTCAAAAATTAGCGGTAATATATAAAAAAAACGATAAAGCGTATACGTTTTTAGATCCAAATACATGTATACATAATAGTATATCAAGACAATAAATTCAAGGGAAGTCATTTGATTTTTTCACTCTGGGAAATTCCAAAAATGACCACTGCACAATATGTTTTTTTAAAAAAAAGAACCCTCCAAAAATGAAATAATTTCTTTAATACAAATGTAATTAGCTTCATTTTTCATATGCAGAACCTAAAATCTATGTATGATAATGTAGGACCAATTTGTTACATAACATTCACTGTTATTCTTGTTATGGTCCATTAAAAATGTGCCCACTTTTAAAAGAAAAGAAAATATAAGATTTTCGTCAACAAAAAGGTTACATATCATTTGCTTAAATCTATCACATTCGTTTAGCTTTTTGTTAAGCTGCAATGTGCATTAAGCTGCATTGATGAGGAAGTGTCCTAGCAACCTTTAAGCAATATTTAGGTATGGCTGCACCTTCCGAGTGGTATTTTGAAACTGCGTTCAAAGTAATCACACACAATGCTTTTAAGTGTCCTAATATCCATATTCTTGGAAACCTCCCTAAATACAATGTAGGTGTAAGCTAATAATTTTTCCATTCATTTCTCATTCTCTTCATTTCTCATTCTCTTCATTTCGATTCAATTCTCATTTCTTCCTCTTCAAACTCATTATCAAATATTTGACTTTGATATCACATGTCATACCATGCTATTGACTGACCATCTGCTGTCTGTATGATTTCTAGAGAATTCACCAGAATTCACCAAATGGAATTTTGTACACCATTTGAGATGTCCTTGCTCAGAGGCAAGGGATTTCAGTCACCTGATGTTTTACTGGGTGTTTTACCATTATCTATTCTTCATTTTTTAATTAAATTATTAAATGAGACTTTAATTTGACGTCTTCTTTGGAATTTCCCTCTGAATTTCTTATAAAATCTCATTTGATTTTGTCTCAATCCTGATTTTCCGAAAATTGGACATATTCTAAGTGAGGTTGATGGGCTAGATATTTAAGAAATTATTACACTGATAGAGGGTTCTGATTTTTGGTCACCCTGTATATAGTATATAATGATATACGATTTTCTATATGTGATATGTAATAATTGTGTTAACAATTTAAGACGATCTTATTTTTAAGATCCAAATTTATTTGTCTATTATTGCACTTTGTGTAATGTTAAAGCCCTTGTGGTACAAAAACACTACTCAACATTAACAATGCCAAATTTGTCTTGAATGCTTTGGACAGATTTGAAAAACGAAAAAGATAAAGATTGATTTAAAGAAATCAGCAACGTTAAAGTACACCATGTAAAATGCATTTCCTATACATTTATAAAAAGTGATCTTAAAACGATCGCTTTACTTGTTTTTGATCAAATAAAAGCATAATACGCGTCAAGGAGGGTATATGTTTGTATAATAGAGGGTGGTCAAAAAACGGAAACGCTGTCACTATTTTCCTCATATCTGTCATTTTAGGAAATTACTTCCTGATATTTGGCACATTTATACATAATTCAAATTCCCACCGGCCAATCATATTCACGACCATCATTATTGATAGTCATAATGTTACAGCACTTTAAACAACATACTCTAGTGCCAATATTGCACTTTCGGCAAACCTGCACCCATAATTACCTAAAATGACAAAGATATGGGCAAAATGCATCATGGTTTCCATTTTTGACCACTTTTTGC